ATCCCAAACTCCCAACACATGTTGTGTTCATATTAAAGATAATGTTAAAAAAAAAGGTTTGAACCAAATTTTTTTGAATAAAAATAAATAATAAATGCATACCGTGAAAAACAAATGTTGTTGTTTTTGCCGAAGCTCGTCTTTTCCATTTTTTTGAACTAATCAGAGTCTTCAAGTTATGCGTCGCAATCTACAGACTTTGGCAATTCCTTTGAAGCGCGTTTAATTCATAAAAGTTTTAGTATTTGACGTCATGGTAGACTTTTAATAAAAGAAACTCTAGAAATATTTTTATTTATTTTTAGTCGAAGTTTTTTTGATTATTTGTTTAGTTTTTTATTTTTCTACTTTTAATATGTAAAAAGAAAATAAAAACCTTAAATATTTCATGCTGGTTCGTTACTATAAAATTGTTATTGCGCCATATACTTAATGTTTATAAATTATGAATATTTATTATCTCAAAAATTGTTTTACATTAATTATAATTAATGTAAAACAAGGCATTTTATTTTTATTGCTTAGACGTTCTAAATAATAAGTAAATTTAGTTCAAGTTAATAATTATTAACTTGAACTAAATTTACTTATTAGTTAGAACGTCTAAGCAATAAAAAAAAAATGCCCCTAAAATTATGCAAGATTGTGTTGTATATTTGGTAATTGTTGTTGGTAATGTTGTTTATGTTGATTATTTTCATAAATATCAAAATAGCTCCAGATTAATCTGTTCGTTGCTTTGCTCATTGTTGATTTATTTCTATCACAAACTATAATTATATGTTAAAAAAGAAAAGTTTTTATTTCATCGCGCGCTCTTTTTATAAAAGAGTAGAACAAAAGAGAAAGAAAATTTTCGCGCAATTAAACTTTGAATGAATAAGAGTTGTATAGAATATATATATTTTTTTGCTTCACTCGTTCTTTTTTTAGATGAGAGAAATAAAAGTTTAATAGTAAATTTTCTTTGAATAAATGAGAATTGGAAGAGAAAATTGCTTGAAAATTTGTATTTGTTAATTGTGTTTTTAAAAATTTTTAATTTTTCATGTTAAGAGACAAATGCCAATTACGACACAAATTTGGAAATACCAAATATAATATAGTTTTAATGCGCGTTATGACATTTTAACAATTTAAATTACAATCTATCTTGAATTATTGCCTTAAATAAATGTGTTAATTATTGCGTTATTTAATAATAATTTGTCCGTATTTTTGTTAAATATTAGTTGTATAAAACGGGCAAAAATATACAAACTTCATGTTTTTTATTTAATGGTTATAAAATATTGAACAGTAAACTTATAATCAAAATTTATAGTGCTGACTTGTGTTGCAATTAATTGTACTTTTAATGCAAAATCAGGATCTCACAAATCCTTTCACGAATTTTCATATCTGATACTACTGTCAACTGTATTGCTTAGTGTATTTTTGTACTTTTTTTTCATAATCTTAACAGGTTCTAATTGGTATGGAGTTGCTGACATTATAAAAATTTCATTATCAAAAATCAAATGTAAAATAAAATGGTATTTCCTTTTTATCCGTATCCAATTCAGCAAATTTAGCAATTTAAATTAAATCAGCGTGATCAAAAAAATTTTATAATGAAGTTAACAGTTCATTAAATATCTCTAATTAATACTGTCAGTTTATGAAAGTAATTGTTAACAAATACTTTTTTTCAACGGAAAAACAAAAAATTGTCATAGCGTAAAAATAACCAGAGAAGTTAGAAAATAGTTCCCATTGTTTAAATAAAAATAATTAAGAATCAGAATATATAATACTGCGCTCTCTTGCGCAAAAACAAGAAACCGTATATAAAACGTTCTATATAATGTAAAATACTCGTATGAAAATCATGAGATTGGTAAGTAAAGCTTTAATATTTGTTTTAATTTAAATAATTAAAGAAATATAAGTAAGATATATAAAACTAAAAATTATTAAGATATCTGTAAAAAATAAGTTGCTCCTATAAAATAAAAATAATTTATTGTTTTTACTTTTTACAAAATTTTTTTTTGCAATGTTTGGAAAAATAATACAAATAAATTTGTTTTGCTGTATGTTAAAAAAATACTACAGTAGAAAAACGCAGCTTAGTTTAATTACACTTTTCTTTTGTTAAAAGTCTACCGTGATGTCAAATACTAAAACTTTTATGAATTAAACGTGCTTCAAAGGAATTGCCAAAGTCTGTAGATTGCGACGCATAATTTGAAGACTCCGATTAGTTCAAAAAAATGGAGAAGACGAGCTTGGGCAAAAACAACAACATTTGTTTTTCACGGTATGCATTCATTTTTTATTTTTAATCAAAAAAATTTGGTTCAAACTTTTTTTTTTAACATTATCTTTAATATGAACACAACATGTGTTGGGAGTTTGGGATCCCTTTAATTAGTCATATTTTAGTCATTTTTTCCATTTAAAACAATGCCGACCCACCTAGCAAGACAATATAATTTTTATTTTTTTTATTTTCAGAATTGGAATCCTCGTAAAATTCTTCGCCAAAAGTCACTTTGTCGTTTTTGAAATTGTGAAAAAATTAAAAATTGACACACCCTACTCTCATAGGCAGTGGATGACTGGCTTTGCTGCTTTTTAAATAGGTTTAAAACAGGCATGTCAAATTAGCAGCCCGTGAGTGAAAAAAAATTAAACTTGTAACTACATCTGGTTATATAATGTATTATTATAGATTTTTTTTTTTCCGGATGTAGTAACATTCGAAAAAAATCAGATGCGTAACTACATCTGGTTAAAATTATGCAATTAAAAAATTTAAAAAATTTGGATATAGTTAGATCCGCGAAATCTACACATGTAGTAGCACGTATGTTATTATACATCGATGAAATTTGGGATATTGTTTCACGGATGTTATTATACATGGCAAAAATGGATGTTATTGCCCTGACCCCTCTCAACTGTGTACAAATAAGTGAAAAAATATTAATAAGTGAAAAAATGTTACCTTATAAATAAGTGAAAAAATGTTAACTTATTAAAATTATCATAAAAAAACATAAAAAATGTATGTTTTTTCATTTTTTGTTAAAAAGCGTAATTTTTTATGTAATAAAACCAAAAATAACCTTTTTTTTTTTTAAATGAATATTATTTTTGAAATTTTTAAATAATATTGCTTCATTTTGAGTACCAGCAGCCGTATTCGCAACTATCCATTAAACTAACGCACCATATATGGACATATTTGTGCTTGTGTGGTTTTTGTATGCTAATGTGCGTGCCATCTATTAATCCAGTTATTCTTGGAAACTCTGCAACATTATAAAAATTTACTCTGCTTTTATTCTAAAAGTGTGGATTAGTTGGGTATTTAATGTATTTATTAATACCAATCAAGACTCAAAGAAACTCGGCAAATAATTCTAGAAATAATTGGTTGACTTAAGGCTGCTGTAGAATCACCAATCACAATCTGGAGAGATACTGTTGCATAAAATCAAAACGCGCATAATACTTGATAGATTGAGGGAACACAAAACTTTGATTTGACTTAGGTTGTAAATCTGTTTTCAGCAAATTGTCCAAATAGAAAATAGAAGCTCGACGAAACATAAACCTTTGGTATAAGTCAACATCATCATAAATATCAAGTGGGTTAGTTCGGTCTCTGAATAATCTTTCGCGTCTAAGACCTCGCCGGTCAGTTATTTCTTTGATAATGACTTTTTTGTTATAATTTTTATTTTATATTTTTAATTAAATTTTTTTTATATTATAATTTAAATTTGAGGTGTAAATAATTTCTTTTCTATGTGAGGAACTTTTTATTTCAGTATGCATACTGTAATAAAACTTTTAATTTTGTATATTAGTATTGTTAATGCCATGTCAATTAGTTCCGTTAATTCCTTGCAATTTAAATGTTTGTTCTTTTAATTCCATGCAGTTTAATTATTTTTTCTAATATTTATTCTAAAACAAATATTAAACAATATGTTTAACAAATTATTTTATTTTATTATCAAAAAGTTATTTCAATAATATTTCATGAATGAAGTATTTTTGTCTTTAAAACAAAGGTTTTAAAGATTTTTAAATCAAAATTTGAATCTAAACCTTAAAATAACTCACGACGCATAGTTTTTTTAATTTTTCATTATTTTGTGGCTTGCTCGTACATAGATAATAGTTTTCTCACTTTTAATTAATTATATTTACGCTAAAATCTTTTATAAATCTCATTATATCGACAGGAGAATAACTGCATTGTAATTTAAACAGATATTTCAACGCAGTTGTAGTTGAAGTTTGTTAGAGAAGTTTGTTTGAAGTATATTCTACAAGTATACATAAATAAAAAATATATATAATTAATACATTTTTTCAAACAGAGCAATTATTATATTCATTATCTCTTGTAAATCTATTTTGTGACAACAGTTTGATAATTGTAAATTATGATGTAATTGTTATTAACTGTGATTGCTTAATCGCAATTGTGATTAAGCAATCACAATTGTGATTAAGTAACAAACTGTGAGTAAGCCACAATTTTGTGAATATTGACACGGTATAAAAAAATTTCTTATAATTTTTTAAATTTATCACCAATAAAGTAATTATTTTTTAATTTTATAAATTATAACTAAAATAAAATATGAAAAAATTAAAAAAAATATTGCAAATATCAAAGACATTCCTATCAATGCACATATTTATACAAATACACAACTATTTAAAATTAGTTAACTTTATTTGAACTTTGTAAGCTATAACTTAATAAATGATATTTTTGAACCAGCCAATTTATAAATAAACCTAACCTAGTTGAAATAAATGCATAGTACATGATATGTACTCAGTATATTGTTGACTTAAAAATACTTTGTATGTGCATGGTGTATGGTGTGTGTTCTACAGTAAAATTGAAGCATTATTTTTATTTTTTTAACCAAATTAATAATTATTAGTTCTACTTTTTATCCAAATTACTTAAGCAAAAAAACAATTACCTGACTTCAAAAAAATCTTCTTCTATAATCTTCATTCTCAATAAAAACTCTGCAATCTTTCCTTTTTCAACATTTTTTTCTCTTAAAAGATTACAATCACAATTAAGTTGGGTACAAATACTCTGAATTGTTGCTATTGATGCGTTTAAGTCATCTTCATTTAAGCCACAATCAACGCCATCTAAAAAGTAAAAAAAAAAAAAAACTGTAAATAAACTCTACAATTTGCTCAACTTTTTTTTTAATATTTAAATCCTAAAGAGGAGTCCACTGCAATCAAGATAACTCAACACACATAATGCAAATTCTACAGTAAAAATGAAGCATTATTTATCTATTATATATAGAATTTAAGCATTATTTATATTAACAGATAAATATTATTCTTAGATATACTAATAAAACTAATCTCATCACTTTTATTTTGAACTTTGTAACTTCTGTTTTGAACTTTGAAACTTTTGTTTTGAACTTTTGAACTTTTGTCTTAGCAAACAAGTGTAATTAAAATGTTTTACGAAAAAATCTCATTAGAAATTTAAGCAGGGACACAAACTTGGAGATCAAAAGCCAATTCTGAATCTCCAAGAAATTCTAGATCTCTAAAGTTCTTATAACATAAGGGAATCCAAGTTTTTCAAAAGAACAAAAAAATAAACTGGTTTAAGATAATTCTTAACTTTAATTTATTTGTATTTGCTACATTTAACTTAATGTAATTAATTGCATAACTATTAAAAACATTAATTTATTTGTGAATCCAAGTTTTTCAAAAGAACAAAAAAATAAACTGGTTTAAGATAATTCTTAACATCAATTTGTTTGTATTTGCTACATTTAACTTATTGCAATTAATTGCATAACTATTAAAAACATTAATTTATTTGTGTGCAGCGGCAAATTTCAGACTAGTAACACTTAGCAGATCTTTTTTTTAACAGTCTCAATTCAAAGACAAAATTTGGAACAGGATTTCTGGGTGATGGAAGTCTTCAGGGCTTCAACATTAGGGTGTTGTTGCTTACAAGACTTGGCATAAAAATATGCCCAAATAGAAAAATCCAGAGTCTTATATTTGGAGAGCTAGGAGGCCCGATTTTTTTTGGCTAGTAAGAAATATTCTCTTAGAGCCATACCTTGAAGAGTTTTAATGTGTGACAGAGTGCATCATCTAGCATAAAAACAAAATGGTCACTATTCTTGAATTTACCATTTATACATGGAAGCACATGGGGTTTGAAGACTTGATCTAAACAATCTTTTGCACCTATTTTGAAGTTGGTAAATAAATGGAGACATTTTGAGGCTGTTGGAAGCTAGCAGGACAAACATCATGATACAACTGTGGTGCTTAGCCTGACTTACTGTTTTGATGAGGTCAGGGCCATCCAAAATATGTAGGGTTGAAAGATACCTGTTAGTACTGCTGTTTGAGAATGGACCCACTTTAAAATATTTTTCATCTGGAAATAAAATGATTTCGACAATGACATTGTTCTGAATAATAACTATAACATTCATATTCTTATCATTTAATGAAAATAAAATAGCAATACAAAATCTACAATTTTAGTTATGAAACTCTTATAACAGTTACAACATTAAAAAAACTTAATTATTTACTTGTTAATATAATGTCTAAAATTGAATAAACAGGTTCTCAAGTAAAAAATAAGTAGACAACTGTTATTTAAAAATTTTAAAAAAGTTTAAAATTATTTTCAATGCAATTTTCAATACTTTAAAATTTTTATTCTAAATAATTTTAAAAATTTTCATGTTACCTCCAGCACCCACTTCATAAATAGCTTCTCCATGACCTTCTAGAAGTAAATCACGAATTTTAGACAAGATAGCATCAAACTGAATAGCATTTGGACTAATTAATGAAGT